GAAATGTATGTAAATACTATTCTTGAGTCTCGGAATGCATCATTCTTTGAACATGTATTTCCAAATAAGACTGAACAAGGGACTAGTAGTAATAAAAGATCTTATGATGTTATTACTAGTCAGGATCAAGAACATGATTAAGAGCAAGAGTTAGATCAAAATGAGGAAGAGGAACCTAGGCGTAGTAAACGTGCTAGAACCTCAAAATCTTTCGGCCCAGATTTTCTAACATATATGATAGAAAATGAGCCTTTAACTTTTAAAGAGGCTATGTCCAGTCTTGAGGCTCCTTTATGGAAAGAAGCTGGCAATAGTGAAGTTGAATCCATCTTGCAAAATCACACTTGGGAATTGGTAGATTTGACACCAGGTTGTAAACCTTTTGGATACAAATGGATTTTCAAAAGAAAATTGAAAGCGGATGGATCAATTGACAAATACAAGGCAAGACTTGTGGTCAAAGGATTTAGACCAAAAAAAAAAAAAAAAAAAAGTCTTGATTACTTTGACACATACTCACCGGTTACTAGAATAACATCCATTAGAATGCTAATTGCCATTGCATCTCTATACAATCTAGAAATTCATTAAATGGATGTGAAAACCGCTTTCTTAAATGGTGAGTTAAATGAAGAAATTTACATGGAACAACCAGAAGGTTTTTCTGTTCCAGGAAAAGAAAAGAAAGTGTGTAAATTGGTTAAATCATTATATGGTTTAAAACAAGCGCCAAAGCAATGGCATGAGAAATTTGACAAGGCAATGATGTCAAATGGATTTAAAATTAATGAATGTGACAAATGTGTTTATATTAAAAACACAGACAAAGGTTATGTCATTGTATCTCTTTATGTAGATGATATGCTCATCATAGGTAGTAATAATGATATGATTAAAACTACTAAGAAAATGTTGAATAAACATTTTGACATGAAAGACATGGGCATTGCTGATGTAATTCTTGGTATGAAAATTACCAAAACATCAGAAGGTTATGCTTTGTCACAATCTCATTACATTGAGAAAATACTTGACAAATTCAGCAAAGATGATGATCATCTTGCTAGAACACATGTAGATGTTAATGTATATCTTTCTAAAAATGTACAGGAAAGTATTTCTCAGTTAGAGTATGCCCAAATTATTGGAAGCTTAATGTACTTGATGAACTGTACTTGCCCGGATATAGCTTATGCAGTAAGTAAATTAAATAGATATACGAGTAATCCAGGAGTAAAACACTGGAAAGCAATTATAAGGGTTCTAAGATATCTCCGATTCACTCATAACATTGGGCTAAATTATACCAAATATCCAGCAGTACTTGAAGGATACTGTGATACAAATTGGATATCGGATACTAGAGACTCGAAGTCCACCAGTGGGTATGTCTTTACTCTTGGTAGGGCAGCTATATCTTGGAAATCTTCCAAACAGACTTGTATTGCTAAGTCTACTATGGAATCTGAATTCATAGCTTTAGACAAAGCAGGGGAAGAGGCAGAATGGCTTCACCATTTCCTAGAAGATATTCCAATTTGGCCAAAACCGGTGCCTGCTATATGCATACATTGTGATAGTCAATCAGCTATAGGTAGAGCACAGAGTCATATGTATAACAGTAAGTCACGACACATTCGTCGTCGGACGGTTCTATAAGATTTGTGAAGGGCTACAAGTCTTTAGAGCACTCATGAAGACCAGGTTGTTCAGGGCCAAAATGAACACAATAGTGAGAACTAAACTGTGTTTGGGGATAATTTGTGTGAGTTCTATTGTCTTGGTTTACACAAACGGCTGAACAGTTCAAGACATCATGTTCACTGGTTAGCTTGTAAATCTTATAGTGTCTCACAAAGGAAGGTTCAAAGCCAAAAGCTACATATCCTTTGCAGAATATTTCCAATTTCTGTATTCTCTGTTATTAGATCAGGTTGTTGCATTTTCTCTCCGTCAAATTCTATTCATGTGGGGGATTGTTGGAAAAATGGTGTTTTATATGGCTTATTTTGGGCTAACTTTAAGGCCAAAATTGAGTGGGTTTCAAACGTCTTTTGGGGTAGGTCCGAAGAGGTGAAGTGTTCCTTGCCGTGTGGCAAGTCACACGGTGAAGACGGAATGTCAAAACCATTTATGAGTGAATGGGAAGTTGACGTCGTTTTCGAGTCTAACATTATTTTTTTTTTTAAGATAAAATTCATTTGAATTTTTTCAATAAAAAAAAATATTGTGGGAATTTAATTTGATTCTAAATTTATTTTTTTGGTTTCCTTAAGTGGTTTCCTAAAAATGATTAAACTATTCAAATAGTTATATATATATATATATATATTCAAATAGTTTAATATATATATATTTCAATAGTTTAAAAAAAAAATTAAATTAAGTTCCATCAGGTTGACTTGGTCCACTACGGTTCACTTTTCAAAGTTTGAATAATTGGTGTTGGTTGTGCAACGGTCCAGAATTGTTTGTATTATAACAGGTTGCAGTTTTGTTCAAAATTTGGACTAAACCTATTCATAATTTTGCCACATCTGTTCGGCTATCTTTGCACCTATTCGAACAAATTTTTGATCACCTTTCGTGCCTATATATAGATCAATTTTCCAGCAGTTCGAGGGATGAAAAATTTGAAGTCTGCATTTTTGTTTTTGCTGTCCAGATTTTATTCTAGTACATTTATTCTTCATTCTAGTTTTAGGAATAAATATTAAGAGAATATAGAACACAAGGTTTGGTTCGCCGTACAAATTTGTTTGGTGTGCTACTACAAGTTTGTGAAGATCATTGTATCCTGGGAGATAGACGCCACTCAACCGTAAGCATCGTAGCGGGGTGAATCTGTCTTAAGAACAGAGTGTCACACACTCGACTTGGCCTTTAAATTTTTAATTCAGTTCGATAAATAAATACGGTACGTTATTTATTTCTTTGTTTGGCTTTATTTCAATTTATTTTATTTACACAAAAGATTGTTCCAACATGCTAAATATAAGAGAGAGAAGGGTGTGAAATCGCTTCACATGGAGGGTGGGCCATGTCATGGAGGGTGGAATTAGGAGGGCAAAATTAGGGAGATGTAACACCACACATCCAATTATTTCATATTTTAGTCAATACCATCAATTTTTTTGAGTATTTTATTAATACAAGAGGTACGTGTCATTTTTTTTTTTAATTTGAAAACTCAATATTATGTATATTTTTTGAAAAATTCAAAAATATTTAGTAGATTAAGTGATTATTCCCGTAATTTTTTTTTTCACCATCTTTATAAAAGAAATTATATTCAATCTCCATTGCACCGTTTCTTGCACACTATTTGAAGAAAAGTTTAGATAAATACATACAGATGCTAGAAAAAGATATTACAGCTCACAATCCATGATGTGGTGGAAGTTGTTGTTTTTCATTGTGATTGTCAAAAAAATTGTAGAATTCATCAATAACATCATTAAAAAAATTTGATTAATTGGAGATTGATAATTATATAATTGAGTATTAATTATGTGAAAAAAAGTCTATTATCAAATTTATACTGATTAGTTAATTTTCAAAAAATAAATATCATCTGATCATGTGATTATGAATGCTCACTTAATTTAATTTTTTTTATTAATGATATACTCAACAAGTTTTACAAGATTAACTATTTACATCACAATTAAACTTCCCAAACAGAGCTCTTATTGACCTTTTACTGTAACAGTTATGTGGCTGTTTCTCGCTTGCTCTATTTGGGAGTGTCTAATGTGTCTTCCCATAGTCCCTCCAAGTAGTTGACATAAGACACTACTGTTGGCTTAACCAACCAAAAGCCAACATGTGTTTGTACCATATGCTACCATTATTCGAACCACCGTTTCATAGAAGAATAACGGATGCAACATTTTTTAGAAGCTACAAATCCACTTCTCACTCAACAAAAAGAATTTTGGGTAAGCATTTGCCTTGCTAAAAATTTTAAATTGCTTTCCCTTTGATCTTATGTATTCTAATTTGAATGGGAAGCTAATGTATTTTGTTTTCTTTCGTTTTTGCAGTGTTTAACTCTTCTTGCTTTTGATAAATCATGAATATAGTGTGCCAGCTATGTGATAAAATTATCCAAAGAACACATTTACTATTTCCGAACAAGGCAAAGTAAGTTATTGTAGAAAACCTCTAATGCTATGTGTGCTTTAATAAATATTTATTCCTTAGCTTTGGTACGAAATAACAGTCATCTGTGTATGCTTTCATAAATATTCATTCCTTAGCTTTGCTACGAAATAACATTCATTGATAATAATAAATGATAATTTTATGTAGAATATATGTAGATTTATTTAGGGAGTAGTAATAGTAAAGTAAACTTGAGAATAGAATGATCATTTTATTTCAATTGTATTTTATTGAACCAAAAACTACTTAGGAGTTGGATCCCACTAAATTTTTATTCCTTAAGATATTTTTTTCACCTTTCCCTTATGATAATATTTTCTGATTAGTTTTGTTCGCTTCATTTTTTCAAACATGCGTTCATCCAATATTTGATTGCATATTTCATGTTTGATGAAAGCTATGTGATTTTTCTTCATTTTCATACTTGCTTTTTAATTGAAAATAAAAATGGTCCATATACTATGATTTTTCAAACTACAAATGAATATTATTATTACTGTTGAACATATTAGGATATTCTCTAATTGAATTTTAAAGAGTTAAATTATTAGATGATATTTTTAAAAAAATTGTCCTAATATGACATTTTTAGTCATGTGACATCGTTTACTTATATTTTTAGAAACTAAATTTTAAAAGAAGATATATAAATAAATGAAATAAGAATACTAATAGTTGCTATATATATAAACTTGATTAATTGGCAGATTCAATGCTTTCAGCACCTTAATATTTAGAAAAATATCAACAACTATATAACTAAGAATGCAACTGTGTGTTTTCACATATGAAGCTAACTTAAAAAAATAAATAACAATGCGACCCTCACGCGCTACCCGCGTGGGAGTCCAACTAGTTATATAAAAGAACGCAAGTAAACATGTGAATTGAATCTAACACTATGTTATTGATCTAATGTTGAGTCTTTCAACAATACTCCTATGTAGCAGCTTACATCCCTGAAATTGTCCACTAACTAATAGACAATTGCAATCCCACCTCTGTTGCCCACATCTCTATCTCTATTCAAATAGGCAGATGATGTGTTTGCTTATGGGTCAATCCCTCCCAACAAACACAATACAAACTTTCTTGTCACAAATCTTTTTCCTACTCTAAGCACAAATCTTTTGGGTCAATCCCTCTTTCAACAATTGTTACAGAGTTTCAATTGAGAGAAAAGCATTTTGCTTTCTCTTTCTCCCTTCTGGTATGTACCTCATTTGTTCATTTTTCTAAATTAAGTTTCATTCCCTTAATTTCTTAATCCATGTTTGCATCAATAAATGGAATATACGTTGTGGTTAAATTTTTTTGTTTCCTCTCTAGTTGAGACGCAACAATCACATTCTTTAGTAATGTTTTGGAGAGAGTGATTCTCAATTCATTGACCCAATTGATCGAAGCATGCCAGGTATTCACGAAAATTCCTATAAGAACGTTCCTTGTGTTTCTTCTTTTCCCCCTCTGCTTGTTTACTTTGTTTTTACTACCTTATTTCGAACATGCCTTGATGAAATGCTATATTACTTTTGGACCTTTTATTGATGTATTTGTGAGGTAATCATCATGCACTCTTATGTTCGAAGTTCTAAATATATGTATTGCTGATGAAAAGAAAACAAAAAAATGATTTCTCACTTATAAAAAGGAGCCTATTTGGAGTGAGGTTGTTAATTTGGTTTAGGCTTGCTTTGAGTGTTTCCTAGATATTTGGACATCTTAGCTGCTCAATTGTTTGGTATTAGATACAAAAGCCAGAAAACCAAATTTGGGAGTTTTTTTTGGTTTTTTGTGTTTGTGTGTGTGTGTCAATTTCATCACCTTTATTGACATACGAGAGAGAATCAACCCCAAGTAAAATAAGCCCATCTACTCTTTTCATGTATTGTAATCATACTTGCAGTTATATTCTTCTATCTCTGGTATTCTCCACATGCTTGAAAAATACACAATTTTCATTTTTTAATTTTTGGTACAACGTACGGAAAAAAATTGTAAATGAGTCGAGTGCAAATTTTTTGAAGAAAAAAATGGAAAAATATAGGCTCACATTAGTTAGTGTGGATAGAATCCCATTAAAACTAGATCATTTACTTTTTTTAGTGACTCTTTGTTGGGACAAAACTAAAAAACAGAATAGAACCAATATGCTTATAATTGGGGTTTGGAGACTTCCAATTGGTATTTTGATTGAATCTCGAAAGGCCTCCGTCACTTCTTCACTGTTCCCACCTTAGGAACACTCATTCCTATCGACGAGAAAGGAAAAGAGGCACTCACTAAGGTTACAATTTCTTAAGGAAGGGGTCTAACCTGCATGTGGTGTTCTATGATTCACCTCCAAATAATGAGTAGGTAGTTCGATCCTTTTTATTTTTCTCTTCATAGTAAATTGATGGGGGGATGCGGAGCAATAGGTCAAATTACTATATACTGCAATCTACTTTATCTTTTTTCATTTGAATTCCGTACACTTGTCATTAGTTTGACAAATAATCTTTAGTTCCTTCTTTCTGCTTCTAAGCTTTTGTTAATAATTATACTTTTTGTTGAACACGTGTGTCTTGGTTATGTGTGTTATTTTGTAGTTTGTTATAATTTTTAAATTTATAATTTGTTCATATTATAGAGCCATAAAATAGATACAAGAGCAAACTCCAAAAAGTGATGATTCATCTGTGAGGCCCCTGGAAAATTTTACTCTCTTAAAAGTCCTTTACTTTTAAATTATTTCCTTGAAGTCCCTCAGTTTCTTAATTAATTGCAATTTTAATCCTAGGATCAAAATATATGCGCCAACTGAAAACTCACAAACCTTAATCGATTTCAGTAACTGAGGAATCATTTCTAATATCCTAATATTGATTAATTGACTCCCTAAATATGGAATTACCACTTGAAACCCCTAGCTTTTCTCATTTTTATCACGTTTGTCGGTTGATCGCCTTTTTAGTCAAAACAAGAAATCCAAATCGAATTAGATTCTCTAACCTTAATTTAGTTTAATTCTACACTAAAATAAATGTTTCAATTCATAAATTAAACTCAAAGCCCTCAAACTCCGTCACTCTACCCAAACAAGTACTATTGTATATACATATACACTTGTACCTTTAAACTTATTTTATACACCATATTTTGAAAATTTCAACAATTGTACACAAGAAAAATATAAAATAATTCTCTCAAATCAACCACATGGCTAGCCACCCTAGGGAAGTTGAATATATACAACTTTTTGAAACCATATCCATGAATTCAAGGAAAAATGTTGGCTAGTACCCCCAAAACATGGAACCATGCCTCCACCCTAAGTCCAATCCCAACCAAAGCCTAACTAGATCATGATTAATTGTATAATTAAGGCCTCTAATCATTCACCATCTCATTAGATTCCAAGTAAATCCAAAATGTCCAATCCATTTCCAACCAATAGGCACTGTAGACCGTTTGCACCAATTTTATTATAAAAACCACCCCTGCCTTAGAATTTTACATACAAGAACACATACACAAACACTTCATTCAGCTAAGAGGAAGAGAAGGGAAAAGGGTGAGCTTTGTGGAAGAAAGGAAAGAAAGAGAAGGTCTTGTTAGCTAACCAACCAAGCATCAAGTAAGCCACACATCACAATCTCTCTTTCTATTTCCTTTTTCAAATACATGTTATTAGAGTCTTGAAATCATATTTTTAGATGTGTTGCAATGGTGTTCATATATTCAAAGTTGATGAATTGAGTTTTGATCCTTCTTCCATTCATATTTCCTCTTAATAGATGCAAAACTATATATTTTCTTCCCATATCTCACATTTTTTTAAAGGCATACCACCACTATAAAAATATGAGTTATTGATACATTATTTAGTATGTTTTCATCACAAAAGAAGTAGAAAATTTCTCTTAGTTGGCCTCTTTTTTTGCTAATCTTCTTATTTTGAGTATTGTGCATGAAAAATCTGTTTTACAGCTAACTTTCGAAAATTCTAGAAAAATGTAGAAAAATATTATGGACCTCGGTTTTATGTCAACATCTTACTTTGAGGAGTCATATTTCAAGGAAAACTGGTTTCATTGAAAAAGAGTGAGCGATTTGTAAGAAATTTCGATTCTCGTAACGGTCGACAAATCTGGACAGCACTGGAGTGTTTCTTAAATAACTAAAAATCTAGATAAGCTATTCCATTTCCAAAACATGTTTTGAAAACTAGATTAAATTCTCTATGAACCATAGGAAGGTCGAGTTCGGAAAAAATATGAAATAGCCCTTTTGATTTTAATTTTTAAGTAGTATTGAATCTAGAAATTCTGTTTAGCATTGGTATTTTATGCTCTTGTGTTCATGAACATACTTATTAATATATGATCATGTCTTGGTATGATATAACATATATCATGGGTGTATACCTTTTATTTTAGTTTTTCGATGATGCTTACACTTGTGCAAATTTATTCTTGTTACTTGCTTGTACTAACCGACTTAAAACATTAATCTCAATGGAAAACTTAATGGGGTTTCGATCACATGAGTACTGTTATGAGATAAAGTTATGTTCAAATTGAATTGATTAGCGGGACTTGTTCCCCTTGAAAGTAAAGTCTTGCGCAAGTGGTTGTTTCGGAACCCTTGAACGAAGCGGTTGTTTTCGGATCCTAGGTATTTGGTGTAAGGAGGAATTTGGGCAAGGGCTATTATTACTGTCTCTTTTGAGACCTTGTGGTTGGCGCTACGCGGTAGATAACCGTTGGTAGGCATCCGAGATAAGTTGTGCGACAAAGCAGCAAAAGAGGGGGTATACCGAATAATCCGCGTCTGATTCTTATGTTTGGGAGGACAAAGTCTCTTTGGGGGATTCTTAGTTTACTAACAACTAACCTTGTAATCTTTGTCATTTTCTTGAATATCATGTTTCTTTCTCCATTGTTGTAATTGCAATTGTGTATGGAATTGGGAAAAAAGGAGGGGATGTGTGTGTGCGTTTACGGGGCATTCAAAGCTTATGGTGTTTCATGCCAGGTATCGAGGAAACATACAAGGCCGATGAAGAGCCAGAGACATTTGAAGACTTATGTTTGCTTTAGAGAAAATTAGAAGCCATTTTGCTTGTGAATCTGTTCGTACTTTTTTTGGAATGTAATGGTAATGGAACTCATTTTGAAATTTGAGTTTTGAAACACTGTAATTATTATTTGCTTATATATCTTTGTAATCCTATAACTATCTCCGTGTTACTTATGAGACCTTGCATTAGTACCTCTTAAGATCTGTCAAAAAAATAGCTTGCTATCTAAGGTGGTTGGACTTAGAAGGGAGGCTATATTGGCTCCTCCTATCTTCTTGCAATCTTACCTGCTATTGACCAAATGACTCTTTAGTGAAGTTATCCTAACCTTAGAGTAGAAACTAGGACATCACATCATCAAACACACATTAATCTGATAATTAAATAATTTTTTCCCCTCAAAAGTTGGGATTGATATCTTTATGTAATTTTGTGCAATTAAAAAGTACAATAAAATTTGGAGTGTTTGGGTTTGGAGTGATTGGGCTATCCATACAATTTTGGTTGGGTATAGAGCATGGTATTTCGAAGGACTGCTTGGTCTTTAGCTAATATTTCTTATGACTCGACAATGCTTTTGACTTGTAGCCGGACAAAAAATGTTTTTCTTTGGTAGTTGTATTATTGTTTATTACACATTTTTTGTCACATTGTCGTGAAGTAATTCAAACGCATCAAGACTTACTATTATTGCTTGATAATAGTTTAGCATGTCTCCTGTGTGCACCATTATTCAAAATGTGATTGATTATATTGTTACTGTTCAGGTCCCACAAAACTGCTATTTTTTCACAAAAGTTGTCTGATTTGTTGTCTATATTATTAATCTGTTTGTGTCGCTTCCAACCAGAAAAAAGAAGAAATTGAAGATTTGTTTTGAAAAATTCTTCTCTATGTTAAAAGTGCATAGCAATTTATTACATAGTTTGTGGTGATTTGTTTTGGACATTTGAAGAATTCTAGACTGTAATAGTCCGAGGAATTTTTTTGTACTAATTTACTAGCTTACTGAATGAGTACACCTTTCTAATTTGAGATCTTCTTGATACAGGGAATTCATGACCACTGGAGCATAACCATACGAGTATCCTTTGACAAAGTAAGAGAAGGAAAAGAAAAACAAGAGAAAATAATCCTTCCAATTAACCAATCCACTGAGTATTTTTTTTATTTTTTTTTTTAAGGACAAGGATTGATTTGTTTCCTGGTTCACAATTTCGTTAAATGTGAGATTGTGGTTATGATTATTCAGTAGAAAAGAAGGACTATTGTGTATTTTGTGTTGAAAATTTCTTTTTTTAAAAAATAGTTTGCTTGGTTCCATTTTTCTAAAAACACTTTTCAGAAAATTTTACTTCTTTATTTTCTGTATTTTTTTTGTTTTTATTGAAATTTTTTAATATTTTAAGCAATTTTATTACTTTTTAGACACACCTAACATAAATACACTTAAAAAGTAAAAAATTTGTAAAAAAAATCTTTTAAAAATTCACTAAATATCAAAAATAAAAACAAAAAAAATACAAGAATTCAGTATATTTTTTGTATTTTTACTTATTTATTAATAAAAAAATTTGACAAATTTTTTACTTTTCAGATACATCTAAGTAAGGTGCATCTAAAAAAAGTAAAAAAACATGTTTAAAATTTTAAAAATATTCACTAAAAACAAAAAAAATAAAAATTAAAAAACTCAATTTTTAAAAAATTTAATCTAAAAAATTCAAACCAAACACAGTTATTACAATTGTGCTTGCCTTTATTATTTCTACTATCAATAATAATGCGACCCCACGCGCATAGCATGTAGGGATCCAATTAGTATATATAAAGAGAGATAGATTGATAGTGGTGGTGAAGTTTTTCTCCCCCATTTATTATTTTGTTTGTTTTTTTTAGTTTGTTTTATTATTAAAATACTATATATAATTATATAGTATAATATATATACACACTTATTACTTGTTGGATTTTATCCTCGACAGGTTTTTCTTTTATTTATTTATTTAATTATTTTTGGGATATAATATAAATTATATTAAAATATAATATGTACAACAATTTATATATAAATACTTAAAATATTTAAAAACACATAGAATCATTTATAAAATAATACAAATTAACGAATTAATAAAATATATTTTAGCAGACTAAATGTGTAACATTAAAGCTCTGATTACACCCCCCAATTTACATTTTGTTAGTCTTCGAGCAAAACAAACTAAAAAGAAAAGTAAATAAAATAAAATAAAATTTATCCATGCCATTTTCGTAGGGAATACGATTGTATTTAACGTATGCAACTAGCCTTTGAAGTCCTAAATTTACCTTATGGACGAGTTATAATCTCACGAGTGTTTATAGTGAATATACCCACAAAATTTAATTTTTTTTATTTTTTATTTTTTATATAGAGTTTATGGAATCTCTACAATCGAAATGCTAGAAGCCACAAGAAACATAAGTGAAAAGTCATATATTTGGACGAGAAAGCAAAAACAAAGATTTTATCTTGACCCTTAGATTACGTGACAAGTATAATTTGAATTATTGAAATCAAATGTATCTCTAACATATTTTGAAACATTTTCAAAAACTCTTGTACTATATTATATAGATTTAAAAAGTATGTTATTTCTGTAAATAGTTTAATTTTTTAGAATGTCATAAAAATAAAAATAAAAACTAAAACAAAAAACAAACTCAGGCAACGTTGTTCGATTGCTTATTTTTGACCGTCGGATGTCCCTTACTTAGATCATCAGTCACCGTGGGATCAAAACCCCATAATCTAAAAATATCTCAATTTTTTCTCTCTCGCTTCTTCCATTATCAGCATAATTGATCATATCTGATCGATTTCGTCTCTTTCATAATCCTAGCTCTTTTTCAAGATCTCTCTCTCTGTCTCGTTTTCATGATCTCATCGACTCCGTGTACTGCTATGTGGTCTTCTTGCCGACAAAGATGGTGGACTCTCTCTCTCTCTCACAAGACTGTAGTTCTGTGATGGAGTTTTAATGGTCCACACTCTCATATTGAGTTTTGAACTTTTGTCGAGTTTGTTATTCTGGGTCGTATTTTGTTTGTTGATTCAGAGAAGCAACTTCAAGTACACCAAATAGAAGATAACAGACCATGGATAATATTATTATCCATGGATTAGGGATGGCAATGGGGATCCTACCCTATGGGTATCCATGGATATCCAATCCAAATATATTGGGCAAGTTTGACAAATGTTGGGCAAGTTTGACAAATATTGGGTTGTTATACATGGTCTTATAGGGGTTGCTGTTGTACTTGATCCTAGGTACAAACTTAGTGTGTTGGAGTTCTATTTTGATAAACTTTATGGAGATACAGCTGAAGAGGAAATTGCGAAGATTCGCCAACTTTGTTATGACTTGTTGCAAGAGTATCAAAGAAAACTTAGTTTAGGGACTGGTACTAATGTTGAATCTTCTACAAGTTCAAATTTTGGGGATTCAGAGGTAGTTTCAGATTATGATTTGTTTATTAGTAGAAAGCGAAGAAAAAAAGTCAACAATGTAACATCAGAGTTGGACCATTATTTAGAAGAGGATGTTGTGACAAGAACTCCCAATTTTGATGTGTTGACTTGGTGGAAATCAAATGCATCGAAGTATCCAACCTTACAGGCAATAGCTAGGGATTTTTTAGCTATTCCGGTATCTACTGTTGCTTCTGAGTCTGCATTTAGCACTAGTGGTAGGTTGGTGAGCCCGTATCGAAGTAGACTTCATCCAGATACTTTGGAAGCATTGATGTGTGCACAGAGTTGGTTATGGGCTATAGAGATGCAAGGTACTTGAATAAATCAACATATATTTATTTTTAAAATAAATATATTTTCATTGAATAGTCTCAATACTTAATTTTTTTCTTTTTATTTTTCAGGAAATTCAACATTAGAATCAGTTGGTTACGCCACTATATATGATGATATGGATGTGAATCAGAGTTGATCTTTCTTTTGCATTAGGTATGCCTTTAGTATATTGATTTTATTTTTATTTGTGAGTTTGTTTCCCCTTGACTTTTAGCTGTACTAGGAGAATCTCTTGCACTATGAGCATGATTTTATCTATTTTTGGTTTCTATAATAAGTTTATATAGATTAAGTCTTTATTTTTATTTATTTGTTAATCTAGCGTACTTTTCACTTTAAATTTGTAAGCTCTACTTATTGAATAGTTTGTGACAATTTTCATCTCAGTAAATAAATAAATACATGCTTCTTTTGATGTTTGCCTCTTACTCTAAAGGTGATTGTGGAGAAGGCTGAGAGAAGTGATATTCCCTTGTGATTGTTTGAACATATTCTGCTTGCTTTATTTGTTAAGCTTACCTGAAGAAATGATTCAACAAATAAAACTAGTGTTGGGTGTCCTATTTAAATGGAGTCATGGCATATTTTGTGGCTTAGTGTTAGTATTAAAAGATAGAGAATCATCGCTTAGGATATAAAATTATTCAATGTTTTTCACTTACAGATGATATGGCATTAGATCCATATTTTGCATTAAAGGATCAAGTAGTTTCTTTTAATACTCGTATAAAATGCAATAGGCTGATTACATTTTGATTTTTATGTTCAAAACATCCCATAGAATTCTGTTAGTATGGAAGCAATAATCATTATTGTATGGCTGTCAGTATTAGATTTCATTTTCATTTCCATGAGTATAGGGACTGTCTATAATGTTTATTCTGTTTAACAAATTTATATACATATGCACTTAGTACATGAACATGCCTATCAACATCAAATATGCCTTCATTATCTCTTATTGTCTTGGAGTATTGACAATTTCAGACTGCATTGTACTGTAATGTGTAAGATTATATAACTCAAGTGAACATATGCATTTAAGGTGCATGCTTTACAGGTGAATTACAAGTGAATTACAACCATAGTTACCACAAGTGAGTATATGTATTTAAGGTGAATTACAACCATAGTTGCCACAAGTGAATTACAAGTTACCACAAGTGGAAAAATTTGCAGTCATGTTGATGCAGCACTAGGAAGAAGAATAAATTGGGAATTACAATTCCAAAACAACTCTCAATAATCAATTGTTCAATATTCATCAATAATCTTTATTATCCTTGTGTAGGTTTTGTTGATGGAGGGTTGCTGCTGTTGGAATGCTGCTGCTACTGGAGTGTTGCTACTGTAAGAAACTTGTAAAGACTTAAAGTTGAAATGTCAAAGAATGCACTTTGTTGAGTTGGGAGCTGAAATGTCAAAGAATGTGCATTGGGAGTTTAATGTGTTTTGCTTCTAGTTGAATTAAGCCTTACTATGAACATCTAACTACTTTAATTATTCTGTGCAATTCATTTATGATGTTTAGAATTACACTGATAGATACTTTAACGTACATGTGTATTTAGAGTGAAGTTATCCATATGTGGGTTTTGGTTGGCAAAGAGTTTTTTGACATTATTTTATTGGTTCTGTCTTTAAGATCTTTGATGTGCATTTTGATTTGTTACAATTTTTTTAATTTTTTTTTCAATTACTAAAACTTATTTGATTGTCTCAAAATTATATATTTGATTATTATAAAACAAACTTTTTAATTAATTAATTAATGTATATTTGATTTTGTTGTTGAACAAAATAAAATAAAATAAGATTGAATGTATATTTAACTTTTGTTGTGAATCTTAAAAAAAATAAGTTGTTAACATTAAATATATTAAAATAGAAAGAAAAAAGATTGAAGGTATATTTAGCTTTTGTTGTGAACCTTTAAAAAAAAATGTTGTTAACATTAAATATATTAAAAAAGAAAGAAAAAAGATTGAAGGTAAATTTAGCTTTTGTTGTGAACCTTAAAATAAAAAATAAAAAAAAATAAAAAAAATGGAAATGAAATGAGGAATGTCTTGGAATTGGATTGAAAAATTTAAAATGATGTTGATTCTTAAGCATACTTGTTTTCAAAGAAGATTTATGATTTTTCTGATGATGAAAGATAATATTTTATGGAAGAAAGTTTTTCTTGGATATTCCAATGAATTTTGAGAAAATGATAAAAAAAAAAAAAAAAAAAAAAAGTGGTTGTTAACATTCAATATAAAAATAAAAATGGAGATTAAAGTGGGTAGGAGAAAATCCATACCCATTAAATAATGGAGATGGTGGTACCCATGGGGAATGGGGAATGGGGAAAATTTATTATAGGGGAATGGGGATGGGGAATTAATACCCACCCCATTAACCCCCATTGCCATCCCTAGATAATATCAAATTTGGTGATTTTTATTTTTATTTTTTTGGTTGTTGTTGTTATTGTAGTTTTTCCATATTATTTATTAGATCTACAAAATCGTGCCATTAGGGAAAGTATAGAATAATTAATAGTAATTATTTGGATCTCCATGATTCAATAACGTCGTAAATTTTTGTTAAATAAAGTATTCTTCATCTCACTGTTGTGATTTCGTATCCCAAATTCCCAATATGCAACTGTTATAATGCTATCATCTTATTACCCAGACGAAAAGGGGTCATCTTTTTTTTACTTTCTAATCAGAAAAGAAAGCAATGATATAGGAGAATTATTTGGCAGGCCTAGGGCACGACCACGTTTGTTATGATTGGTAGAGAGAGTGGGATTGATGATTTTGTGGTGGGTGATTGGGGAACATGAGCGGCATGGTGAATTGTGATTGGCCACCAACAAATAATTTTTCGTTATATAGGGCTCACATGTAGCTGATGTATCTGATAGTCAATAGATGTCCGTAAACCCTAACAATTTTTTTGGTAATATAAGTTTTCATGGTTTGTGATTTGTTTTTGGGCCTGTGGTTGTATTGGTATTGTTTCAAGTATGTGTGATTGTATGATTTTGTTGAGAAAACCAAATGAGAGAGACATTGCAGTTGAATTTAATTATGCTGACATATTATAGCATTAGCAAAGCATAAGACTTGGCAATGCATGAGAGTGCATTAATGCATAAAGGAGCCGCGATTTCTGGCAGCACTCTTGTGATTCTTGGCTTTAATTCAAACAGGAAAAAGTTACCTAATTCTTTTCTTCGTTCTGTTTGGATGGTAAGAAATTGCCAAAAAAAGGAACAGAAACTAGTTGTATGTATGTTTGGTTATCAATCCATTTCTAATCGATTCCTTTTTAATCTACTACTTTCAACTGTTTGAATGATCAAAGAGAGCGTAAATTTATATATTATTTGGATGATTTGGACTTTTTTCACTAGAAATTTGAGAGTATATGTTTAAAGACCCATCTAGTTGGTGGCATGCCTCACCATCATTCACAACTTGGTTTAACTTTCCATTGAAGTTTTGAACTACTTCATATTTATGCTGCAGAATTTTTTTTTCATAAAGAATATATGCATATATATATTGGGGATGGTAGGCTCTTGATTCTAGAAGCCTAACAGGTTGGGCCAAGATGGGTTTCCTTTTTGTCTAATAGTAGCACTGACTTTGATGATTGTAAGTTATTGGGAGGAAAAATGCAATATTTAGAAATCCTGTCAAACTAGTGGCAAATTGTTTAAAAAGTTTCCAGATCATTGATAAATTTGGTGTATTAATTTTGCAAAACAAGTTCCTAAGCTGTATTAAATCCTTATGACAGTGGAAATTTTTGACAATGGGATTTATTTAGGTGCTCCTGCTGTTATAGGCATAGACAATAACCACACAACTTTTTTGGTCAGCGATTCTAACCAATGGGATTTATTTAGGTGCTCCTGTTGTTTTAGGCATGGACATTAACCACACAACTTTTTTGGTGTGTTAATTTTGCAAAACAACAAGTTCATAAGCTGTATTAAATCCTTATGACAGTGGGAATTTTTGACGATGGGATTTATTTAGGTGCTCCTGCTGTTTTAGGCATGGACAATAACCACACAACTTTTTTGGTTAGTGATTCTAATATTCGTTAGTGTAGGGGAGTTCATCTGAAAGTGAATCAAGGGAATGCTAGTTAACATTGATGCCAATTATTTCAGAGTTCAATGTAATAATTGTGAGCATTGCTAATGTAGGCTGTAGATTTGTAAGGGTGATTAAAAGTTGGTTGGGGATGATTTGTGGGATAGTATTACCGGTTTTCTTCTGGTCCAGCTAAATGTGGATCAGAATTTAACACTAGGAAATTTAGAACTACAGATAATTGGAAGAAAAGAAAAAAAAATAAGATAAAGAACGAAATGATGTTGAGGAAGTAGGAAACCGAGGTAACCATATATTTGGTTCCTAAAGCATTCCCAATGGCGGAGGTTATCACACTTACTAAAGAAAGCTTCTCAAGTTGTATATTCTCAATTAAACATTCCTGAAACTTCAAAAAAGGTGATTGAAATCTTTCATGCTCATTGCTGTAGACTGTAGTGTGGAAAACTCCCCTTTTACTAGAGCAATGGGAACACTGGCATGCTATAATATTAGCCTAAGCATTAGGCACCATTTTATCTCACAAAGTTTTTGCGATTCTGGTACTGCAATTACTTTCTCTCGGTTAAATGGCACAGGATCGTTATTTTTAGTGTTAAGCCTCTTAAAACCTATCTTCCATACTTGTCTAAGTTGATAATCATGACATCAAGAGTGGAATTTTGATCATGTTTCACAAGGAGTGGGCAAGATCATGTATGAGATGTCATGGTAGAAAACTAGAGTCACTAAATGGAAGGCCAGGTTTTCTTGCTCATGTTATTGGCTGAGGCATTGGTGAAGTTAAGTTCATTTTGGGGTTTTCCAGGTCATATTGATGGCATTAATGCACAGGGGGTAGCAGGGTCACCAAGTGGAAATTGTCTTTGGCACATGTAGTCACCAACCAAAGTAATTGATTGCCAAAGGTGATTTGGGGCACTTGTAGTGGGATGGTGGAAAGAGGTGGCGTTGAAAAGACTGTTTACAAGGTCCAATTGTACAGTTTTTTTTTTTTTTTTCCCGGGATAATTGGGTATCCGGGTAAAACCCCAATAAGAAAAGGTAGAAAAATGACTTTTTTCTTGTTTTATCTTTCCAAATGTTCCTTGCTAAGCTTTTAATCCTTTCTAAATCTTAAAATATCTTCAAGTATTGTGGTTGAAACCTTGAACGTTACTTATCGGTGTAAACATAAATTTCAGAACATAAACCTTACACTTTGGATCATTTACCATGTGTATTATCAAGAAATCAAGACAAAATGACATACCTGAATCCATTGATGAACGGTTAAACGGAAGCGTGATTATCAATGAACTCTTTGTTATTGATTATGTTATTGCCTTCTAATCCTTTCCCCTTTGGTGCCTTACGTTTTTCCTTGAGAGGATTTAGAAAAAAATGGCAGTGTTCTTATTTCCACTTGGGAAAGAATAGGGACCATAACCTTTTAAAGGTTGTAATTGGTTTTCAAAATTGAAAGGTTGTAGAAGTTCAAAAGGAATGAAAACCAACTTTAACCATTATTGGTTTTAATTTCTATTTATTGGTTTTCAAAACTGAAAGGTTGTGGAAGTTCAAAAGGAATGAAAACCAACTTTAACCAATATGTTTTAATTTCTATTTCTGCCCCTCATAGAAATAGAAATTATACAACTAGTATCTACACATTAGGTCCATAACACATATACCCTTAAGCCTATTTAATTATGTGGTCCCATTGAGACATTATCTAACAATCTCCCACTGGACCACATATGTATCCTGAAAAATGTGCTTAACTTTAGTGAGCTCAGAAATTTGTTATCATAACTTGAGGGTATCCAAACAATCTTGTCCATTAACTATATTAATATAGGATCAAAGCGGTCTTCGTTACATCAATCGTAACTCGTCCCACCAATGGTCACGTATACTAATACAGCTAAATGACATAGATCAATCATGAATGCGTAGCATGGAAATTACATGTGATGTGATCCATACATGCCTATTTCCAACTGGTCCTACTTAACTTTATTGAGATCAATACTTCACAATACGTAACAGAGTGTAATAAATTGAATATTTCATTTCTGCAGAAATTAATCTAATTACATAGATAAAACTCAAGGCTGACATAAAGCAGTAATATAAATACAAACTCCCACTAAACCAGAATGTTCTCAAATAGAACAACACCCATCTGAGCAGTGTGCTCATGAAAGACCTTGGGTGGTAGTCCCTTCGTAAGTGGATCCGCTATCATGGAGTTTGTCCCAATGTGCTCTATGGAAATCTGTCCACTCTGCACTCTTTCTTTTACAACTAGGAACTTGATATCAATATGCTTTGATTTTGTCGAGCTCCTGTTGTTATTGGAATATAAAACTGCAGACTTATTGTCACAATATAACTTAAGTGGTCTTGCAGTGCCTTCCAAAATACGCAACCCAGTGACAAAATCCCGCAGCCATATCCCTTGGTTTGATGCCTCATAACATGCTACAAATTCTGCAGCCATGGTGGATGAAGCTATGAGCGTCTGCTTTGCAGACCTCCAAGAAATTGCTCCGCCAGCTAACAGATAAATATAGCCTGATGTGGATTTCCTACTGTCTTGGCATCCAGCAAAATCGGAGTCGGAATATCCAATGACCTCTAACTTATCCGATCTCCTATACCTCTCCACATTACAATTTGAATCCCTTTTGGTTTTAAATATCCATTTACAACCTACGGGCTTCGCACCAACTGGTAATGAGACAAGTTCCCAAACTTTATTGTCTTGCATAGACTTATATTCTTCATTCATGGCTTCTATCCACTTATGAGAGTTGGAACTTTCCATGGCTTGACGAAAGTTGATTGGATCATCTTTCGACATTCCATTTTCTACCTCATGTTCCTGGAGATATACAATATAATCATCTGAAAATGCAAATCTCCTTTCTCTGGTGGATCGCCTTAATGGCACAGATTCTTGAGGTTGAAGTTGTAAAGTTTGTTCCTCAGGAACAATTACCTGTAGGCTTCTTATAAATGATAACACCACATTTAATTATGTAATCCCATTGAGACATTATCTAACAATCTCCCACTAGACCACATATGTATCCTGAAAAATGTGCTTAACTTTAGTGAGCTCAGAAATTTGTTATCATAACTTGAGAGTATCCAAACAATCTTATCCATTAACTATATTAATATAAGATCAAAGCGGTCTTCGTTACATCAATCGTAACTCGACCCACCAATGGTCACGTAAACAAATATAGCTAAATGACATAGATCAATCATGAATGCGTAGCATGGAAATTACATGTGATGTGATCCATACATGCCTATGTCCAACTGGTCCTACTTAACCTTATTGAGATCAATACTTCACAATACGTAACAAAGCGTAATAAACTGAATACTTCATTTCTGCAGAAATAAACATGTATCAAGGTAGGCTGATGTACACCATAAATTGAGTATTTACATATATTTCAAATGTGACTTGTGACTTGAGCTTTTAATTTTCTGAAAGTCGAGCGCTCAGGCATCATTAGTTCTAGGTGCTTTAACTTTCTAATAATTTAATCTCATTATGCGAGTGCATAATCTAGGTGTCTATATTTATAGGCATGTAGGTTAGTGTCATTGCCTTTTTAATTTCGGGTAGCGATATGACCTTTCATAGTTCATGGGGATGCTCTGAACTTATAGATTCTTTAGCTAAGGTTATTTGTGGTTCTCATTTTTTCTGCTCCTTTTTTATTTCAGTAATTTGTGTTTGTCATGTGTTCTGCCAACTTTAACCAATATGTTTTAATTTCTATTTCTGCCCCTCATAGAAATAGAAATTATATAACTAGTATCTACACATTAGGTCCATAACACATATTCCCTTAAGCCTATTAACTAAATTGAATCACTTAAATTGTAGGCTTCTTATAAATGATAACACCACATTTAATTATGTGGTCCTATTGAGACATTATCTAACAATCGCGGGGGTGGAGTTCTCTTGGAAAAGACAACAAAAATTCGTATGAAGTGCAAGAAGATAGCTCGAGTCTTTTTTGTACTCGGCTGTCGGGAGTTCATACTATTGCTGAAATTTATCTTGCAATATGAACCTAGGCAAAGGTGAGAAGACTGGCATTGATAGTGTTAGACTCTTGGCAAAAATCGTTTTAGACTATAATCTGCATATTTTGGCTCTCCGATATCTCGCCAAATTTCAACAAACTATAGTACTATCAGCTTTATTTGTCTTCTTCCGTAATCATTTAATTATGAAATTCAGCCACTACAGGTTTTTTTTTTCCCCTGTACATATTTTTTAGCAAAATCGACATATTTCACCACGTATACATATTGACATCTACAAGACGAGGAAATCTGCAGCAGATGAGAAGATTATCAGCTACAATGATGTTGTACTCAGACGATCAGATCTGAACATTCTCAGCGGTCCATATTTTCTAAATGATCGCATCATTGAATTTTATTTCAGTTATCTTCCTTCATGCTATCCTTCCGAGGAGATCCTACTGGTTTCACCTTCAATTGCTTTCTGGATAGCAAACTGCCCAGACATCGAAAGCCTCAAGGATTTTGTAGAACCCCTTAATCTCTCTAGTAAGAAACTGGTAATCTTTCCTGTCAATAACAACGATGACGTGACAGAAGCCGAAGGTGGGAACTGCTGGAGCTTACTTGTGTTTGAGAGAAACGCAAATGTATCCGTGCATCATGATAGCTACGGAGGACTTAATGCTGGGCATGCCAAACAGCTTTACAGAGCTATTGTTGGATATATGGGGATCTCTGATATGGCATCAGCTTGTAAATATGTTGAGTACTCTAAAACCCCACAGCAAGTGAATGGCTATGATTGCAGTCTATACATTGCTGCTATTGCGGAAGCTATATGCAGCTGGTATGAAAGCAAAAGTGAACCGAAAGATCTTTTTCTACGATGAATGAGCAGGTTAATCCATCTGTTGTTGCCGAGATGCGCAACTAGATTTTGGGGCTAGTAAAAAGCTTAATGGCCATGAAGTGAAAATCTTGAATTCCATTGGTGTTAGTTCAAGTTTCAGGAATTGCAAGTCTTTTTTTTCTGTGACTGTTAGAATATATTATAGATTTTAATAGATTATAGTTTATAGTTGGATTATAAATTTAAGTTTCAGAGATTAGTGTTTGTTTAAGAAAGTTATAAAATGACTTTTTTGTTGTGTAATTGTCTTTTTTACCCTTATTAGTTTTTGAGATTCAGGAATAGAAGGGAAATGAGGGATGGACCCTTTATACAAGAGCATGATGGTAATATTTGAAAAAAAGGAGATTTGTAAGTGAATTTTCAATAGAAAACAACTTCTGTAAGCAAAAAGCTTACTAACCTGCCTTTCAAATCTACTTGTAATTTGATCTTAAATTAACTGAAATAAGCTGAATACTTGTTATTTTGACTTGTCTCGAGACTCTAACACGGTTGTGTTGCAATTAAATGTTTTGATCTTCTTGTTCTGTTACACTGAAGATAGGGAACGAAAAATGAACAGTTGAGTTTTTAAAAAGTATTTATTATTATTATTATTGTTTTTTTGGTCAAAAAAATTATAAATTTGTTTGATGAAAAAAAAATAAAAAATAAAAAATATTCATCATTTTTATATAATTTTATTTGTTTTGGGAAAAATTAATTATTTTGGTCAAACTAGTTTCTATTTTTTAAAGAAAAAAAAACAAAAAACAAATTGTTACATCTATATTTTATAATGAAAATATATGTGAATATTGATGTTATTTATTCATTATCATCTCTGGTTAGACAGTTTCAACAGTTTATAAGGATGTTGAACACAGTTATTCACGTTCCAAAAAAAAAACAAAAAACTTGTGGATTGTTTGTTTTGTAAGTTCATTTAGCATATCATATCATAAGCAGAGCAAAAATGGTGGGGAATCTGATTGTCATGACCAATTTTGCTTTCAAAAGTCATCAAAATACCTCAAGTAGAAGCATGAATTTTGAGGAACTAGACTGTTTTGAGAGTAATCATATAGTACAAGCTTATTGGTACAAAAACAGAGCTCACATTTGTTCCCCTTTGTTTATACAATCTAATATGAAGAAGAAAATAAAAAATCAATAAAACAAATGCACCTTGAAAAGTGAATAGTACAACTTTAGTTTTGACTGATGTTTCAGAATGTTGTGAGAACACAATCTACATATCCATCTAAGATGTAAGATGTTGATTAGAATCTCTACTTCCAGCAGTGCACAAACATCTCAAATTTCTGTACAAATTTGACGTTGAGACCAAAAACAAAATTAGGATGTCTCTTTGGCCCAAAAAAACCTTCCATGAGCCCTGCATTATCACAAAATCTAATAAAAACAAAAAGACAAAAACAAAACTTTACAAGTTACTCATTCGGCTTTACAATCAAAAGTTACACATTACGCTCTACTTGCAAAAGCCGGTTACAGATGTCTAGAAATGTAATCCAGAAAACACAGAAAGGAAGACAAAAAGATTATTAGTTGTAGCTAGCCAGTCAACTATATAATACTCTTCTAGCTAGTTCCTGTCCTAAATCAGTTAGCAATAGATACACTTGGACGATTTTTGTGGTGTAAAGCTTCATTTACCTTATAGCTTAGCAATAGTTTTAGCTTCATAGAGAAAATGTTTTTAATATATCAACATTCGTTACAAAACCAAAATTAGTTGGAGCACTTGTCACGCCCTGGGTAAAACCAAAGACAATCCTCACTTGGAGCACATTAGTTTTTTGAGCCAAGCTCAATCAGCCTATAACTTTGGAGTAACTTGGCAAGGAGCTCATCATTTTAAACAAGTTTGGGAGACTCAATATCTAAATGGATTGCTAACAACCATATATCTGCTTAGATAAATACTACGGAGTTTTCAGGCCTTGTAAAACTTCCAATCATTTACACGACTTCTTTCTAATACAAAATGACAAAATCGATTCTCTGTGAAAATTTACTTTGCCTAATTAAAGATAAATAATCGATTCTTACCCAGGGCTTCAGCATCATTCATGTCATGCTAATGTCTGATGGGTAACTCCCCAGCACTCTCAAGAATGTAGCAATCTCCTGCCAAAGGAATACATCTTCCTATATCATCTACAACTAAAATTTATATTTCAAAGCTGAATGATAATAAAACCGACTACACCTTTAGATGCCCAAGGGCATTCTGTGCTTTCTGGTCAGCCATTGATGCTTCAAAATCCACATAGAATAGATAAGGGAAGCGCCTGTATGAGTATATCAAATGCATCAAGCAAATAGATAAGCAAAACAGTGTGTGGAAACCAATACAATCATGAAAGTGTCAAATGCATAAAAATGCAAGAGACAAATTAGGCAAGATATTTACTTTGGAAATCCATTATTGTTATCGTCTAGTGTTTGCAAGGCCTTCTTCTGCAGTGGGCGACTTTCAATCTGGTTCAACAGCAAAAAAACAACAAAGGTTGTCGGCATGGCTGTATCCAATTGGGATGCCCTGGATTTGACATGTTTCTTGGTAGGAGTAACATGAAACTCAGAATTATGGACGTATTCATTACTCCCAAATAAAAAAGGGAATTCATCTATGGTTGATTTCGTAACAAATGTAAAACCCAAGTTATATACGTAGAATTATTTTTGGATAAAGTAGTAATTAAATAGATTTGTATGGGTAATTTAGGAATTTTAAGAAATTAGGTTAATAACCCTTTATGTAAAAGAAGAAAAACAAAAGAAAAAAAAAAAGAAAACAGAGCCTCGTGAAAACGCTGCGGAGGGTTTGGAGGCTGCTGCTCAAGGGTTTGAAAAACAAAAAAAAAAAAAAAGAAAAAAGAAAGAGAGGGAGGATTCATACAGTAGTGGTTTTGCTTTATTCATCACTTAGGTAAGATTTTATTGTATCCCTATCTATGAATTTAGTGTCAATATATCATTAGATGATTTTTTGGGCATATATGATTATATAAATATATTGATATAGTCTATGTTGGGGTGTCGGTTTGCCTGACTTTAGAGTGTATTTTTGCATTCCGTTTGGGTGGTTCATATTTTGAGATTGATATGTGATAAGTTAAGGTTAATGGTGGTGTAATTTTGGGATGCAAGTTTGGCTGGTAGTAATTAAAAATTTATATATGTTTACAAACAACAATAGAATAATGTAAGTTTTGAAAAATTGTTCAAGCCGTAGTGGCTCTGTTTCGGTGCTGAGGTTTGGGAATTACTGATAGACTATAGGATTAGCTTTTTTTTATCATAAAGAAAAGAATGATGGAAGCATTATGGTGATCAATAATAATTGTTTATGTGATGTAATATTTTATTAGGTTTGTGAGATTGAGGTGGATCTTGGTAATTTGAGATTAGCTTGGGAAATATTATTTTTTTAAGCGTTTGAGGTAAGTAACCCTCTATCACTGTTGGTTTATTTTTATTCCTATTGAATCGTTTAAAATTATAAATATTTAATTATAGCCTTCATGTTCTCTTAAATTAAAATATGGGTCAAGTATAAAACAATATAGAATATTATTATGAAAATTATTTGAATATTTTGTGAAACTAGTCTGAAAATTGTACCAAAGGTTTATTCTGAAAATATCGAATATTTTATTTAAAAGTTGTGCATTGTTTGAATTTTAAACATCACTCTAATCTGACTACGATTTGGACCCTAGCCAATGAGGGTTATTTATTGGCACAGAACTAGTTTCTTTTGGGATTTTACCACCGGCCTATGTGTGGTTCTGGGCCTTGTCATGGGCTAAGTGACCGTAGTCACCAAGACTTGGGTTTTGTGAATCGCATCATTGAACCATTTGAATATTGAACCATCGATTTGGACAACGGAATTTCTTCGAATTATCTCATTGTCTTTTCAATTAGAATGTATTGCTACATTGTTTATTTTCAACTATGAAACCATCTTACAAAATAATTGTTTATTTATTGAATTGTAGCAAAAATATATTTATTGGTTATCGACTATTTTTTTTTTTTTGTATCCTTGATCCAGCTAGCAGTGATGGTTGGTTATTTACTGCGCTGTCTAGCTTACCCTTATTTGATTTTTTTTTTCAGATTCTGAGGAGTAGAGCTGCGCGGGGTTTTTACTTGTGGGAGTGTCGAGAGTAGACTATAATTTAAGTACTTGGATTATTATTTTGTTAGTGGATTAAATTAGTGGACTTGGTGGACAATTTCATATAAGAATAATTTATTTTTATGGATTTTGACATTATGATAATTAAAGATTTAATTTGAGTATTTTACATTATTGGTTTATGTGATTGGATTGGACTCTTAGCCTTGCACGCTCACTTAAATGAGTGTGCGGCGTTGTCACGGAGCTTGGGGCGTGACATTCATGGATATAGTTGTACCTCATAAAACGACTTCTTTCTTTTGTCTTTTGTGGAATTATTCCTTTCTTTTAGAAAGAAATTCATGGATACATTTATTTTCGTTCAAAACAGATCTGATATTTGTATATCAGGTCTTTTAGAGAGTCCCTTTTAGATTATATCCATATCTGTTCAAAACAGATCCGATATTTGTATATCGGGTCTTTTAGAGAGTCTTTTTTAGATTATCTTTGTCTTTGTTTATGTTTTAGGATGGAACAAATTATTCTAATTTGTCCCCACCAACGGATTAGTCCACATTTTTCACAAATTTTATGAACAAAAGCTCTTATTTTCATCAAACTAACAAGAAGAGACAACTAAAATTCCCGAGAAAGGAACATAACTTAGTTAAGTTAATGTCTCTCATTGCAAAAATAACAAGTGCCTTGAAAAGCATTCTAGGACCTTCCTCCAGCGAGAAAACTATACTTGTATAAAAGAATAACAACAATGGTTAGTGAAACATACCCACTGAAAATTTTAGAAACTCGAACATTTCAAAGCAGATATGGAATAGAATCATGGTAAGTTATCTTGCACAATAACCGGTGATTCGTAAAGTGAGATGCTAACCTTGAATAGCCTATTTGTGCTAGGAATTATAGGTTCTCTTGCAAGAACTAGAAATCGAGTGACATTATTAGAGTCATCCTATTGAAGACAAAGCGTTATTGACTTGATGCAATCATAATATCAACAACGAAGCAAAGTTCATAACTAAACCAGTAATTTTAGATAGCAACCTGAATTCATTCCGTAGATCCTTGCAGCAGTAGAGGTAGCAACTGGTCCTGTGTCGTTTAGTTTGTGGAAAGTAACAAACTATAGACATGAAGAAAATTTAGGTTACAGTCATAGACAAACCATAATTAGTTCCAAAAGTGTAGAGATTATCAAGAAAAGTTTTATAAACACAAGTCTATGACCAGAAAATGATTCATATGTATTCATTCAGGCTAGTCCAAGTTAAGTGGCCTGGGAGGCCTTTTGTGCAAGACTACCAATGGTGGTATCCAAGATTTGGAGAAGCTAGCAAACAATTGGCTAACTGCCAATTTTTACCTACCTTTGCTGTGATAAGATATCTGAGCCATGCCTAGTGTCACGACCCGCCAACGTGACCAAGCCAAATTGTCCAACAGGAGGAAATCTCAAGAAAATGAGACTAGTGAAATGGCTTGGAAGCTCCTGGAAGACTTGAGAAAGTATGAAGACCATGAAGGATGCTAGAGGGTTCTGGAACTCTCTAGATTGGCTACAAGAATAAAGGCTATGGGAGCATTGCCTAGAAAACTCTAGAACAATATAGAGAATTGTACTCAACACTAGAAGCTTGTACATAAGTCTTGTATCTTCTAGAATAGGCTCTTTGAAAGGATGAGGGAAGGATCTAGAATCCCCTTCATCCATATAGTTCTAGAATAGTCTATTAGATGTAATAGGAGGAAGTGTCTAGAACACTCTCCATTAGTATGGTTCTAGAATAATCCTTGTAAGGCTATATAAAGGGGAGGCCCTCATTTGGCCAAACCACCCAAGTGTAATCACAAGCATTCAAGTAATACAAAGCTAGCATTCTCCAAGCATTCTCCAAGTCTCTCTTGTGTGTGTACAATCCCCTAGCTCCCTTCCACAAAAGGCTTACTTAGGTGCAAGCAAGGCGTGCTTCAAGCATCTAAGGCCGCACGGTTGGCTTGGAAAGACTGAGGGTTGGTTCAGAAATTCCAAGGCCGTGACACTAGCTACAGAGCAGCAGCAACAGCACAGAACAGCAGCAGCCATGCCTAGCTACAGAGCAGCAGCATCAACCAAGGTTGCAGCCTTAGTCACCAACACAACAGCTCCAGCTCCAGCTCCAGCTCAATGAAGCCTTCCAGCTCAAGTTGATTAGTCTGTTAGAACTATAGTTAGTTAAACTGTAAGTAGTGTGGTTAGGTTAGGCAGTTAGTGGTTACAGTTATATCATTGCATCACATGCATATATAATGCATAAGAACCCTCTGCATTACTTAATGAATGAAATGAAGCTCAATTTCTTTATGCTGCACCAGCAGTATCATCCACAGCTTTCCTGACCATTCCCAACCTTGTTAGTGTGTTGTACACTGTACAAGAGCCTGAAATATTATCAAGTCTCAAATAAAATTCTTGATGTACAACAGCAATAAAAGAGATTATGAGAATAATAGCAAACCTGTGGATGGCTTAGAACCATCTTTAGGTCTTGAACTTTAACGCCATGGTTAGCTAGTAAACGATGCCTAATTTGTCCCCACCAACGGATTAGTCGACATTTTTCACAAATTTTATGAACAGAAGCTCTTATTTTCATCAAACCAATAAGAAGAGACAACAAAAATTCTCGAGAAAGGAACATAACTTTAGTTAAGTTAATGTCTCTTATTGGAAAAACAGCAAGTGCCTTGAAAAGCATTCCAGGATCTTCCTCCAGCGAGAAAACTATACTTGTCTAAAAGAATAACAACAATGGTTAGTGAAACATACCCACTGAAAATTTTAGAAACTCGAACATTTCAAAGCAGATATGGAATAGAATCATGGTAAGTTATCTTGCACAATAACCAGTGATTCGTAAAGTGAGAGGCTCACCTTGAATAGCCTATCGGTGCCAGGAATTATAGGTTCTCTTGCAAGAACTAGAAATCGAGTGACATTATCAGAGTCATCCTATTGAAGACAAAGCATTATTGACTTGATGCAATCATAATATCAACAACGAAGCAAAGTTCATAACTAAACCAGTAATTTTAGATAGCAACCTAAATATCTTCGACAAGTATATTCATTCCGTAGATCCTTGCAGCAGTAGAGGTAGCAACTGGTCCTGTGTCGTTTAGTTTGTGGAAAGCAACAAACTATAGACATGAAGAAAATTTAGGTTACAGTCATAGACAAACCATAATTAGTTCCAAAAGTGTAGAGATTATCAAGAGAAGTTTTACAAACACAAGTCTATATACCAGAAAATGATTCATATATATTCATGCAGGCTACTCCAAGTTAAGTCGGCCTGAGAGGCCTTGTATGCAAGACTACCATGGTGGTATCCAAGACTTGGAGAAGCTAACAAACAGTTGGCTAACTGACAATTTTTACTACCTACCTTTGCTGCACCAGTAGTATCATCCACAGCTTCCTGACCATTCCCAACCTTGTTAGTGTGTTCTCACACTGTGCAAGAGCCTGAA